CTAACCGATAACAACATGATGAATAACCATGCACAACGGATGAATAACCATACACAACGGATGAATCCATGAATAACAACTGTCATACCTATGAATTGTTATGAATTTTTTAGACTATAAAATTCATGAATAATCTAATTAATACTGATGAATAATGAATTCTTTACAAAGGAAAAAATAAATAAATTGGATCTACAGAGTTTAGATCTACAAAACCCATCAGCAACTAGTATAAAATACGAAACTTTAAGAGATTAATATGTATTATCTTTGAGTCATCTGGGGTTTTTTTGATGTGCTTTTATTCGAAAAACTCAGATTATGACGTTATGATTGCTTTTCTCGGAAGAAGAATTGTTTTTCCCATCCTTCTACATGAATTTGTAGATATGAAATTTGTTTTTTCCACCAGCATATCTGAATCCGATGATTCACCGTATGGATTCGAACTGCAGATCTAAAACATGGAGCGGAGGTTTAGATAATTTCAAACGAGATTCACCGATTTTATTTTTCAACGGCAACTTTAAATAAAATTTGAAAAATTTGTGAATCGGAGAATACTGGGAGAATGTTACGAAGAAGAACTGCAAAAAAAAAAAAGAAGAAAAAAATCCAATATTATTGGGTATTTATATTTTTTTGTTATGAGAATTAAAAATTAAAAATCCAGAAAAAAGGGTTTAGGGGTTTTTTTTTGGACCGTGAAACACACGCCATGAGCTCCTTATATTAACTGAATAACTACTACTGCATCTACTTTTATTTATCGTATTAAGATTTGCATAACTATTATGAAAATAATAATTGAGACTTTAATTTTTATAAATGTATCGTCTTTCTTGGCCTTAACTAAAAATCTGGAAGTGAAACTCTATAAAAGTTTAAAATTGGAGGGTAAAAAATAGATAACTGTCATTGATATATATGTGATTAAAAAAAATTTTATACTAACCATAATGAGACAAATAAAAAAGAATAGAGGTGGTGCAACTTCAATAAACATGCAAAAAATATTTCATACTCCTTTGGATCCGAATTACAAAATATGAAATTATTGTAGTATTAATTTGGACTTTATAATTATGATCACTAGAGGGGATGTTAGTTTTGAGTCAACGAGACTACCATATTGATGTACTTTACAAAATCATAAAATATGATTTGCAGTTACTACATTATAAGGTACAGATTTAAACTAATTTTAATGTAAATTTGCTTTGCCAAAAATTATAAAATATGATTTCTATAGTGTCTACGATTTACCCAACAATGAAACTTCCTTGTCATTTAGTATCCGAATAAAAAATTATGGGATTGTCATGGACTCTAGATCACGATTTCGACATGGTGTAATACTGTAAATGAAGGAATAGTTTCAGATATTGACTTCATATTTTTTTTTCACCAAAATGAAAAAATAATTATATTGCACCATTAAATTAGGTACCAATAACTAACTCTCCATAGCAATCAGTACTTAGTAGAAATCATTGCCTTGATGAGTGTTATTTATTACTCCCCCATTCCAAAATAAGTGTCATCTTACACTTTGCACATAGTTTAAGAAACTCTTAAATAGGGTAATAAAATTACTTGAATATCCTCAACCAACCCCATTATAAAATTGTCAACCAATAGCATCAACTCTTTTGAGGGTAATTTTGAAAACTTTTGACAAAAAGTGCATTGAAATGTGAGAACGTCACTTATTTTGGAATTTCTCTATTTTGCTAAAACGACACTTATTTTGGAATGGAGGGAGTAGTAATTACTACTATCTCCGTTTTTTTTCTTTAGTTTTGGAGTGAACCCAAAGTGTTTTTTTATCTGTCGCACTTCATTTCCAAGCAATATTTCCAATGCAACATTAATTATATTGTACAATTATTTCTCTCTACTTTTAATAACATATATATTAATAACATCTACTTACTCTTTTACTTCAATTTCAATTTTTTTAGAGTTTCAATACTTTTAATTAGGGCAAAGAAAGATAATACCCTTATAAATTAAATTCCTTATCATTTGTTTTTTTTTTTTTTTTGAAATAAAGATTGTTTTCGTTCCAATTTGAATAAAGGTAGTAGCAATACACTTTACAAAGATCAAACTCTTTAGAGAAAACCAAGTTTCCAGTATAGAGATACAAAATAATTAGCAACAAATGTAACATATACATCATGGTAGACTATACAAAAACTAATTTTAAACATTATTAACCAAGGTCATCTTAAGAATAGAATGTCGGGTTGATATTCATCATTTCTGCCCATAGCTTGTTCTTTCTTGTGTTCTTCATCTTCTTAATCTTAGCCAAATTCTTCTTTAAGGCTAATTTGAGCTTCTGACAAAGCTCGAAGACTTTGGGGGCTTCATCCATGAACAAAAGTCTATTTCTGGCATCCCATATGAAATAAACAGCTGCAGAGAAATTACTCCAAATGATCCCATCAATAACATTACTTTTTTCAAAATGAACCAACATCCAATCAACTAGCTCAGACCATGACAGAGTAGGTACCGATACATGGACCATATGCATAGCTTTAGACAGGATATATGATGAGAACAGACATTCAAAAAATAAATGATCTCTCGACTCCACTTGCATATTACAAAAGCTATAAATAGTGTCAATGGATTGGTCAAAATTCGCCACCCATTCTTTTGTTTGGAGCTTATCAAGTAATGATAACCAAGGAATAAAACTATGTATTGGAGTAAAGTACTTACCTCAAACAAGGTTGTAGTAGTGTATAGACGGTTGTGCAGGAACAATCGTCAGGAAGGTACCAACTGAGGAGAAAGCACACCCTTTACCTTTCCAAATGGGATGACCTGAGTTAGTATCAACACATTGCAAAGCAATTGGCCTCAAATTCAGAATTTTCTTCATGATCCATGAAGTGGACTGAGTAATGTTGTAATTCCATATATCACAATCCTTGAAATAATACCATGAACCCATTTTACCCAACAACTATCAGTTTTCAAGGCAATGTCCTATAAGAGAGTTGTCATCAAAGTCAGGTTGGTAGAGACTGAATCCGTAATGCCTAAACCACCTTGAGAGTAAGGTTCACAGAGATCCTTCCATGCCACTGGAGATTTTTTTGATGGCTCATCAGATCCTGTCCATAAAAATTTCTGACACAAGCTATCAATTTGTTTGAGAACCTGTTTCGGAAGAATAAAAACTCTTGACCAATATACTTGGACACTTTCTGAGCACAGACTTGATCAAAACAAATCTTCCAGTATACAACAACAGTTTTGACGTCCAACATCTGATGAGAGCTGTAACCTTCTCCACAAGAGGTAGACAATCATTTATAGATAAAGATCTAGCAGGTAATGGAATGCCAAGATATTTAACCGGAAGCTGACCTTCATTAAAACCCAAACTTTGAGTAATTTGTTGCCTAAGCTGCATGTTAGAGCCTCCAAAAAATATACTAGTTATTTGATGACAATCCAGAAGTGACAGCAAAATGGGATAACATACCTTTGATGAGCTCAATGGATTGAATATCTGCCTTAGCGTTTGCATAACAAATATGAGTGATCCTAGTCCTGTGACATTTAGGATGAAATTTAAAAGCTCTGTCAGTTGCCATCTTCTGCAGGCCCTGGAAAGATATTCCATAATTAAGGTAAAAAGAAAAGGAGACATAGAGTCTCCTTGTCTAATCCCCCGTTTAGCATTGAAATATCCAAAAAGTTCCCCATTTGTAAAGAGTGAATAGTGTAGCGTAGTAAAACAAGTCATGATCCATCTAACAAATCTTAAAGGAAAACCAAGAGCAATCAGCAGAGAATTAAGAAAAGGCCAAGCTACAGAGTTATAAGCTTTCCTCAAATCAACTTTGATATCACAAAATCATTTGTTTTCTTAATAGTTTTGAAAACATAAAAACAACATATTAAAAAAAACGGAGGTAATATGTTTTTGTTGTCATGCAGTAAATGGGAATTTTTGATTATTCAATGTCGTGGCTAGTGGGGTGCAAACTTCCAAAAGCTGTCACAAACAAACGAAACATAGATAGAAGCCGACGGGAAAAACAAATTCAAGGCCGCCGGTCACCTACACCGTCGAAAACTGGCACCGGCCTGGAATTCAATTCAATTCAATCCAATCCAATCTGACTTGGGATTTGTAAGGACATTTTCGGCAATGCACACTTCCTGACTGCAGTAAATCCATTTCACACACAACTGCAGTCAACTTTAGCCCACAGATTTTTAAGCAGAAAAGGCACCCCCAGCCAATAAAAGCCAAAAGGCCAGAGCAAGGGACCACCCACCACCTACAAAAAAAAAAAAAAAATCATTCAAAAATAACGACAAAGATAAAAAGAAACTAAAAGGAAAAAAAAAAAAAAAAAAAAGACCCAGTCGTGTTGTAAACCCAGAAAAACGTCATCGTTTTTTGTCGTACCCCACCGGCTCTCTCTCTGAGTTCTTTTCTCCCCTTCGCCTTGTCAAAATCGTCACCGCCTCAAGAAGACGACATAGATAAACCTGTATAAAAACTATCCCGTCTCCGATTTCCCAGAAGAATCGTACTACTACTTATTTTTTTTTTTTAAAAAAAAATATTTAAATTAAAAATATCTTCTGCTCTTCTTCTTCTTTCCCCTTCCTTTAAAGTTGAAATGAGCCTGTAAAAAAAAACAAAAGCAACTATAAGCTACCACTTGTAGGAGAAAGACACACTTTATCCACTTGATAACCTTTTTTCAGTCACCTTCCGAGGGGTACTTTTGGCATTTCACGTTCCCCCAACGATCTTTTCCGGTATTGGATTGGGTTTGGATTTTTTTTTCTTCTTTTTCATTAGCGTCAACACTGGGGATAGTGGGATTCCCTGTCACCGCCGTGGTTTGGCTGTTCTCCGGCGATTCCATTTCTCAGAACTCTGTCTTTTTTGGAAAAGAGATTTTTGAACTTTTTAAATTTTAATGTGGTGAGTGTTGGGTTAATCTCCGTGCGAAATGGATCGGGCAATGTTGACAGTTGGTCCAGGTATGGATTTGCCGATCATGCACGACAGTGATCGGTACGATTTGGTGAAGGATATCGGGTCGGGTAACTTCGGAGTTGCGAGGCTGATGAGAGATAAGCAGACCAAGGAGCTGGTTGCGGTGAAGTATATCGAGAGAGGCGACAAGGTTTGTTTTCGTGATTCCAGATTTCCCTTCCTCCTGATGATTATGATTAATTGATGAAGACGGGCTTCTTTTTGGGGTATAGTAATGTTTAGTTTCAAGCAGTTCTTAATCGATTGTTTGGTCCTTATATGGAAAACTTTTACCTCTTCCTTTTTTTCTCCTTTTTTATCTCACCAATATCAGCTATTGGATAAGCTTTATGCCTCAATTAACTCACTTTTGGAGCTTGCTTTTTCCCCAGAAAAATTTAGATAGTTATTTCTGGAAATTATTACATTTAATACTTCCTAATCTATTTTTTTGTTTTTGGGGGTTTTTTTTTTTTTTTGTTTTTATAAATTTCTTTCATTTCTGCTTTAGTGAAAGAACTTCCTGTATTTTGTTGAATTTTTGTTGGTTTGCTGCTACTTCTGTGACATTGCAAAAGTTTGAATGAAGGAGAAAAAAGAGTTCGAAGTTATTATCAACAAATTAAGCAATATGAGTAGTTTCAGCTAATCAGCAACTTCTGGTATTGATCTTCTGTTCTAAAATTTGTTTTGACGGAATGGTTTGCTGCAGATAGATGAAAACGTAAAGAGGGAGATAATCAATCACAGGTCTCTGAGGCATCCTAACATTGTCCGGTTTAAAGAGGTCGGTGGTTTGTTATCCCCCTTCTCTTGTTTTATTTAGTTCAGATTGGTGTGATATTTTTGCTTAGAAATGATGCCCTGTGAATTATTGGACTTTCAGGTGATTTTGACGCCCACACATCTGGCTATTGTGATGGAATATGCTTCTGGAGGAGAGCTTTTTGAACGAATCTGCAACGCTGGCCGTTTCAGTGAAGATGAGGTTAATTGCTCTCTTTTCTTGACCTTTTGATTTTTGAGGTTGATTTAAGAATAACCACTTTGTTATGTCAGTAAGGAAGTTAGCTTGAAGATATTTTATGTATACTGCAGGCTCGATTTTTTTTCCAGCAGCTTATATCGGGAGTCAGCTACTGCCATTCCATGGTATTCAACATTTAGTTTTCTTTTTTCTGCTTGTAATGATTAAGCCTCTTGTGAGATATCATAGTCATGATAATGATCAAGCAGTGTAAGCAGAGGAAAACTGGATGTAGATTTGTGTTACTAATACATGTTTTATATCTCTTGGTGAAGCAAGTTTGCCATCGTGACTTGAAGCTGGAGAATACGTTGTTAGATGGCAGCCCAGCTCCCCGCTTGAAGATCTGTGATTTTGGTTATTCTAAGGTAAGTTTATGTTGCTTGGTTTCCATTCAATTGCTGTATCATATCTATTTCGAGATAGTTTTACCTCCGTCCGAGCAGAGCTGGCTATAATCTACCATAAATATGTCTTTGAGTTACTTAGCAGGGGATTTTTTCTATGACAATAGTCGGCTTCTGGTAATTGAATGAGAGAAGATTAGCACACCTTTGTGCATCTTCTTAACGATGGTAGTTATATTTAAGCTATTTCTGAACTGTGGTTTTTTTCCCCCTCCAGTCCTCTCTGCTGCATTCACAACCAAAGTCCACTGTGGGAACTCCAGCTTATATTGCTCCAGAAGTTTTACGCAGGCAAAAATATGATGGCAAGGTAAATTCACATCACTTACCTGAATGTTAATGAAATCTGTTGCTTCACGTTCATTCACAGTTCAATAATTTATGTACCCTCGAAGTAGCGTTAGTCCTTGCAGTTCTCCTCTGTTGAGTTTTATCCACAATGGGGGTTTGTGGATTTTAATTTATCTTTGTTAGACTGCTCTCAGCATGTGATTTCGTTTCGGTTTGACAAAGGCATTTTGCTTACTACGTGTATCTTAGTGTTGGATGTCCTTAGCAGAAAAGGTTCTTGACTGATTCAAACATGTGTTAACTAATGAATGAAAGTAAAATGACCCCAAAGACTTGCTGTTGACTGGAAGTAAATAAATGGAGAACTCCACAGTGCCATATCTAGCTTTAAGATGCAGACTAAGTAGAGTATGCATTAAGATCTTGGAAGGATGGCTTACTTCTCCTTTTGCTGCATACCTTTTGTGTGTTAAACTTTGTTGTAAACCAATTTCATTGGTTGTGGAGCTCTCAGTTTAGGTTGGCCTGCAAATGTTTATTTTGTTCTTTTGAGCACGTGAAGCAGCTAACCAGTCTTCTTACTAGCGTCATGTACTCATGCTCGACCTATGTACATGTTGATGAGTGATGCATGCAATGTCCATTTTACTTTTGATCATTATTGCTGCTGTTCTTGTGACCATGATAATCTCCTGATGTCCTATTTTTCCTCCTGATGTCCTACTATTTGTTTTTTGCTGTTCGTTTCATTGTGATCCGCCTGCCTGATGTGTTTCTGTCTCGTTTACAGATTGCCGATGTTTGGTCATGTGGTGTTACATTGTATGTCATGCTGGTTGGCTCTTATCCTTTTGAGGATCCTGCTGAACCAAAGGACTTTCGGAAGACCATCAATGTACTTGATTCCTCTTCTTGTCATTTCTGTTTTACCTTTAAAATGTGAAGACTTTCTGCGGCCGTTCTTGAATTTGACCTCCCCTTTCCCTGCAGAGAATATTGCAAGTTCAGTACAACATCCCAGAAAATGTGCAGATATCTGAGGATTGTCGCCATCTAATAGCAAGGATCTTTGTCGCAGATCCTGCAACAGTTAGTTCTTCTAACTCTCTCATCTGTAATGATAGGACATAATATAGTTTGTAGTTTTGTGGTCTTCTGTCTTCATCCCGGCTGATATGTCCTCCATAGAGGAGTTACAGGTCATCTCATTTATATGCGTAATGGTTGAGTGTCTATACTTTAATAGCAATTAAATGATGAATATACATGAAAAATTTTAATATTAATTATGGATCCACCGGTACGAAAGAAGTTTATAATTCCCTGTACTTATGCCAAGTAGCACATCAAAATTTATTGTTATGCCTTGCACTTGTACCATATATTTCACTGAGAATATGATAATTAAAATTACAATGATTTATATACATCATACTTGTTGATGCCAGTGTTAGGATTTAGGATTTGAGCCTTACGCCAGTTAATTGATTTCCAACAGAGAATCACGATTCCTGAGATCAAGAATCATGTCTGGTTCCTGAAAAACCTTCCAGCTGATCTGATGGACGAGGGTAACATGACCAACCAATTCGAAGAGCCTGAGCAACCCATGCAGAGCGTGGACGTGATCATGCAGATAATAGCAGAAGCCACCGTACCTCCTGCTGGTCTTTACAGCCTAGATATGATGGATGATGACATGGATGACCTTGACTCCGACGATCTCGACTATGATCTGGATCCTGATATAGACGTTGACAGCAGTGGGGAGGTGATATACGCCATGTAGAAAAGGCTACAAAGATTACTAAGCTCTCAAGGATGGTGCCATATGTAACCACAAATGTCAGCTCATCTTCATAAGTTACCTCCCAACACCAACCCGACATGGACTCTCAGAAGAAGCCTGCTAGCTTCTTAATACAGGTGAAAGAAGACGCTGGAAATGGGTTGTGCTTTTGTTGTTTGTATCAAGGGCGAAACAAAAAGAAACTTCTATAGAATTCAGAGACAGTAGAATTAATGGATTGTGTTGTTGTTTGTTTGTTATATACAGTATATCTTAATCTTATAAACATACTAGAGAGATGTGTTTGTACTTTGATAAATACTCCATGGTCCGCGCTACTATTACACTGTTCTCCATTCCATAATTCCATAATTCTCCCTCCGTCCCAACCAAGACAATTATTTTGAAATAGAGTTTATCTAGTAAAATTTGTATATATATATTCAAAAGGATTGATCCGGTTGCGCCAAAATGAAATGGGATTTTCAAGAACATATTTACATAACACAAAATCAAAATTCTACTCCATTTTCTTCTCTTTCTTCTTGCCTGCTGTTACCCTAGACCAGAGCATCCTAAACTTCTCTTCAATCATGGCGGAATTCTTCTGCGAAAATACTCTCAATCGCCGGCCGTACTCGTTGAACTTGTGCTCATACTTGGTGTAAACCAAAGGTACCGTCATACCCACCATTATCCCTGCCACAACCACGTAAACTTTCTAGTACTACTCTTCATCCATGAATAAGAAAAGAGAAGGCAATTCAGAAATGTATTTGAATTTTTACCAGTGTAAGCAATTGTAAGCAAATCAAAGCGGCCTCCGATCCAAGAAAGCAGCCAGGCCGAAGCTAAAATTGCCGCAAACTTCAACAACTCTCTTCCATTAGTGGTGGAGCTAACCCGGAACATCCATCTCAATCCTTCTTCAACCGATTCTCGAATTCCATGCGCCATCTCCACAGCAGAGCCTTCGCTTATCTCCATCCCTGAAAGCTCTGGCACTTCTCTGTTTTTTTCGGAGCAAAAAAAAAAATAAATAAATAAACTCATCAATTCAATTAGCCCAGTTAACCTTGATACTCAAAATTATCAATACATACATAGGGCAGAAATTAAAGTTCTTACTTGCCGAGGAGCCTGTGAATGTTTCCCCAGACAAAAAGAGATGCAACGACGAACATCGCAACCCAAGAAGCCACCGTCAGGAAGGTGAACTGATAAACTTGCAGGGCCACCCAGGTGGCCGTCGCCGCCGAGAGGACAAGGATGCTCAAGCATCTTTTCCTCCACATGATCACGTCCTGAGCTACATCGGAAAACGTCTGACTGTGGGTTTCGACTTGAACAATAGGCTCAGAAGCTGCCGGAGGAGACGGTGGTTGCGGAATTTCCGACGTGTCAGACATGTTTCAAACTAAAAGGGAATAATAAAAAAAATATATATAAACGCCAAATCCAAAAGGATACTTTTCGAATAAGGGTACGGATGAACAAGGAGCTGGAGGGATCAATGAATTATTGTTTAATGGTCACCCAAAAATCTTCAAAAATCATATACGGAGTAGTATTTGAGGCTTCTCGAATTGTGGTTTCTATTAGTATCTTACGAAGCAGATAAGGAGAGAAACGAGGGGAAAAAGAGGACTAATGAAATAAGCAAAAAAAAAATTCAATGTAAAATGGACGTAAGGTGATGATAGTACACGTGCCGGTGTTGCTTTTGATTTTTCTAAACACAGAAATGAGACGTGGAAGCCATGCAGGAGGAAATGCAGCAGAGTTCAGGCCTCCAGAGAACAGGGATAATCATCATCATCAGCCAGGAGGATTATTCTGAATTCTGCCTGACGTTAGCATAATAATAATAGCCCAGGTTCTTTTGGGCTCCTTTTAGATTGTTGTAGAAAATTTTGGGCTAGTTCATTTACAATCCCGTTGGGCTTATCTGGAATATTGTGAACACGAGTCGGAATATGGCTTGAGGAGGTTTGACCAAATGCTATGAATATGTAACACATAACAGCGGTGGAGCATGTGCATCAATGGCGGTGTGAGTGATTACGATGATAGAATAATGGAAGTTGTGATTTTCTTATGAGTTTTTCTTTTTTTTTTTTTTTGGGGGCAATGGCACCAGCTCATTCTGTGATTACAATTTGCGACTCCATATCCTTCCTGTTGAGGATCATGTGACAAGGATTATGAATCCCACATCGGAGGTATGAGGACATGTAAATCAGTTAATAAGTAAGGTAGTCTCGAAACCCATTAGCTTGAGCTTTTGAGTTTAAATGGATCTTATCTTACTTATTGGGCTCCATGTCAAGTTTTCTCCTTTGAATAAATCCCCAACACTTCCCTGGATGGAAACTTCACCCGATACTGCTTATTGTGTGCCTCATTCATGCAGAATACTATTGGATTTCGCAGTTTGCAATGTATGTATTGAGTGGGAAATGCCATGGGAATGATACAATTTATAGACATGTGACATATGATATGAAGCGTAAGTAGATCAATGCTATTATATACTTACTCTTATTTTGGGACGAAAAAAAAAAGATAAAATATTTAGGTTGTGTTAATTTTGGTTTTTTAACATGTAAAATGAGAAGAATATGGAATATCATTGTCCATATACAAACATAACCAGGACAGGTAAAATACACAAGGAGTTGACTTGATTAGGTAGGTAGTAGTAGTAGATAGTAGATACAATTGTGTATGTAAAGGTATGTTCTTCCCAGTCCTAGAGGTTTTATTTATTGACTTTACACGCGAATTTAGTCAGAAAGGATCAGCACATGCGTCTTCTATAAGTATGATTGATTATACTGAATACATTTTGATATTGCAAAGCAACATGTCGTTGAAGAAAACTAATAATGGGGATGAAATAAACAACAAATTAATAAAGGAAAGTCGCCCATGGGCCAAGGTGGTGGAAATTAGTCAATTACAGTGATGAAGCGTACTAGTACTAGTTTGCAAAATGTGTGGACCCTAGTTCTTCATATTTGTGTTCACTCCAGCAGCAGCATCTCACATGGAGTCCCATCATTTATTTTCAACACAATTTCTTTTTCTTTTTTTTTTTTTTTTTTGCCTTTTTGATCTGTTCCAATAATCCAATCAAACTTTTTTTTTTTATAACTTAGAATAGAGGATTAATACTTTCTCGAATATTCTGAGAGCATAGGACGGTGTTAAGCAATAATTACCAATGATTCACCATCATTGACCTTAATGCATCTTCATAGGCTCTCCAACATTACCTTTTGACCCTGGATTGATAAAAAAAAAAAAAAAAAAAAAGACAAGACCAGGTGGAAACATAAATTAATAATCAGTCTGAAATCTGAATGAAAATGAGAGAGGGTTGTACGTACGTAAATCTATATGGTAATACTAATTCATATGCATTGCATGATTTATGAGTACTTATGTGACTGAGCTTAATATTGTAAGCAAAGGCATGGGGCAGAATTTGGTTTGTGCATGTGATATGAGCGCTGACTTCCAAAATTAAAAATTTTGCATTCATCAATTTCACAGGAATAATACCTACACTATATACAACATCTCGGGTTCCAATTTGACAATTTGCATACTAAATCAAAAGTCACGGTAGTATTAACGGTGGACACGAGTGTATTACGTCATGGATGGTTTGCTTCGTGAATTGAATCTTTTCGAATTGCTCACCCCTACCCCCAATTCCATCCCCCATATGCCCCCAATGGCCTGACATTGGCAAATTTTTCGTCCCTTTCAAAATGATGGAGTGTATTAACACTAAAAAGACTGACTGCACCGACTGCTAGTTTGAAACTTTTGTAAAACTACGAATAAATTGAGGCGGCATTCATGGAGTGGAACCTTCATTCAAACCTTTTAACACTAACCAACACCGTTTCTCTGGATTTTATTCTCCCATTTGCCTTTATTTATTTATTTATTTTTATACACATAAAAAAAATGTTTACTGTTTTCATTCCCGAAAAAGCATCCCAAGATTGCAAAAATTTTGCGGTGTTAGGACTAAGGATTACTATTACTGCTGTTACCAGCCATCATCAAAACAAACATGAATTTAAAACAATATGAATTTATGATTACTCAGAAACCGCGTAATTTCAGCTCCCCCAAAAAAAAAAGAAAAAGAGAAAAAGTTGGCATGTGGGGTTAGTAAGTTTATCATCAAATGAACTGTCTCCCAATTGTTATTCAGACCATTCAGATTCTGGACTGCTAGTATTTATATCTTCTTCGTAGTTGCATACATTTCCAAAGTTTTTGTTCAGCTGTGTGGAACCTGCAAACAAAGGAAAAACACACACCCAATAACTCATAAAAGGATATGAAGTAGAAACACAGAGCAAAGAACAGAGCTTTCATATTCTTTCATTCTTCCCATTTTTGGGGCCAACCAACCCAAAATCTTGGTACTGTCCCTTTCTTTTCCTTGTACTACTACTACTACTTCTAGTGTTGTCATTTTCCATTTTTCTTCGTTTTCTGTTTTGTCTTGGTTTCATTTCATCCGAACCCTTTTGTCATTTTTAGCATAAAGCAGTATGATTGCCACCGGCCCTTTTTGTTTTCCATGATCGGAATGTTATACTGTCTTGATCCCATTATGTACATTTGGGTTTTATTTTGCAGATTGGCTAAAGGTGCTTGGGTAAACAATGGGGAAACGAGATTTGATCTGTTTATGCAGTACAATTCTGGCGTTGTGGAGTGTTTCTTTTGTCCAAGCTGAAGATGCTTATAGATACTTCACGTGGACAGTTACCTATGGAACTGCTTCTCCATTGGGTTTTTCTCAGCAGGTTTGTGGAACTACAACGTTTTACAGTTGTCCATCCTTTTTTTTGTTTACTTCTCAACTGCTCTTGTTCTTTGAAAGTTTTCTCTTTTCCATGACGTTTTGAAAATTAAAATTGCAGATTATCCTTATCAATGGTCAATTTCCAGGACCAAAACTTGATCTTATCACCAATGACAATGTAATTATCAACGTTTATAACAAGTTGGATCAACCTTTCTTGATAACATGGTAAGTCCCTCAAATCAAAACTCCCTCAACATTGCTGTCTTTCTCTTTGTTTTCTAGCGTGTTGCCTGCTTAATTTTACCAGGAGTTTTGTCTGTTGTTCCCTTTGAAACATTTTGCTTGTGTTGTTTCGTAGTTTTTTTTCAACATTGAAAAGATTTGGAAGCATTCCATCCCTTTTAGTTCTATGTGAAGTTGCTTAGAAAACATCAAGAAGATTGTTTTGCTTCTCCCCTAATTTAGTTCATGAAAAACAGGACAATCTATGGCAAGAATGTGTTATGTACTGAATATTTTTGGACTGAGTTTAGATTGATACGAGGAATAACATTTTTCGTTCATGATTAGGAATGGAATTAAACAAAGGAAGAATTCTTGGCAAGACGGAGTTCTTGGAACTAATTGCCCGATTCCTCCTAACTCAAACTTCACATACAAGTTCCAGACTAAAGATCAGATTGGAAGCTATACATACTTCCCATCAACTCTATTGCATAGACTTGCTGGAGGATTTGGAGCACTCAATGTGTGGCAGAGATCAGTCATTGCTATTCCATATCCTAAACCAGTTGGCGATTTCACCCTGCTTGTTGGTGATTGGTACAAGTTCAATCACAAGGTGAGGGCTTCATGGTTTTTACATCCTTCATAAATGTTTCCTTGAGATAGTTGCCTTACTTACAATTGAGTACTTTATGCGATCGCTTTTTGTTACATTACGCATTGTGTCTGACACATCTGAAACTTAGTACTTGATATTGGTAGTCTTGTTTGAAATTCTGTGATTTTATGACTGGCTGCTTATCTGTACAATAGTTTGAATATATAAGAGCCTTCGGATGCATTTAAGTCGTAGTCTTCAGGAAAATGCCTTGGCCAGTTACAAATTTCTGTTGCTTAATCGAGCAGAAGTTTTCCTTTTCGTATTAGAGGAATTTCGGATGAATGATATGGATGTTGCTTATTAGGATCACCATAACATGTTTTAGGATATTAGCCTCAAAGGCCTGACTTTAATGTTTTGTGTTAACTATAAGGAATTTCTTTCACCGGAAGTTCAGCTTACCAATAAAGTGGAATCACATTGATTTTTGCAGGTCTTGCAGCGGAGGTTAGATTCGGGGAGATATCTACCCTTCCCAGATGGTCTCCTCATAAATGGCCAGACTCACTCCACCTTCACTGGTGACCAAGGTCATCCTCAGCACTTGTAGTTTTATTACACTTCTACACAGAGAATTCTAAAGCTTTCACTTGTTGTTGCTGAAAGCCGTGCATCCTTCACGTTTAGCTGACGTGAGTTCTTTTCATTTTGGCTCTATTTCAGGTAAAACTTACATGTTCAGAGTCTCAAATGTCGGTTTCAGAACCAGCTTTAACTTCAGAATTCAGAACCACCAGATGAAAGTGGTCGAGGTCGAAGGGTCTCATGTCATTCAGAACCTGTACGATTCCATTGATGTGCATGTTGGTCAATCAGTGACTGTTCTTGTCACTTTGAATCAGTCTCCAAAAGACTACTACATTGTTGCATCGACTAAGGCTTTTTCATCCGGGAAGGGGGCACCACCAGTTCTTAAAGCCACTGCTGTATTGCACTATTCAAACTCTCAATCATCAGTTTCCGGAACTCAGCCGGCTGCTGGACCTGATAACGTTCAATGGTCCTTGAATCAAGCCAAAACCTTCAGGTGTATATTACTTCAAAATGTCGTAGAACTGCTTTTTGTGATTTTGCATCAGAGTTTTAATGATACATGTCTCAGGAATTTTAAATTTTTGGGCTAAGAGTGCAAGGATTTCTATTGCAGGTGGAACTTGACAGCAAACGCTGCCAGGCCAAACCCCCAGGGTTCTTATCATTATGGAACCATCCCAATAACAAGGAGATTCGTGTTTGCCAACTCTGTCCCTACGATTGGTGGGAAGCAACGTTATGCTGTCAACGGTGTCTCCTTCATTTATCCCGACACTCCCCTGAAGCTTGCGGATTTTTTCAACATCCCTGGTGTTTTCAGTTTAAATTCCATCCAGAGTTATCCTTCTGGGAATTCTGCTTCCCTCGGCACTTCTGTGGTTGGAACTAACCTGCATGATTTTATCGAAATCGTTTTCCAGAACAACGAAAGATCAATGCAGTCATGGCACCTTGATGGCTATGATTTCTGGGTAGTTGGGTAAGTAACATTGAATCTTTTAGTTTATGAAACCTTAGCCATTTCATCAATGAGTTCAATCCTTGAATACATTTTGTTTTGATCACCAGTTTTGGAATTGGACAATGGACACAAGCCAGTACTGCTACTTACAATCTTGTTGATGCTCCTACTAGACATACTGTACAGGTACATCTTCAGATACAGAAACTTTAAACATGACTCCCTACGTCCCATAATTATTGTCCACTTTAGATTTTCATATTTGGTTTTAATTATACTAAAAGTGAAATCTTGAAGTGTACAGTAATTTTGGGACAAAACATTCTTTGATATCGCTTTTTGCGATGCATCTCCCCCTTTGTCAATGCTCATACATTACATTAATAGAGTTTTACGGGTTATCGTTGCAGGTTTATCCTGGGTCTTGGACAGCCATATTTGTGACCCTGGACAACCAAGGCATGTGGAATTTGAGGTCTGCTGAATGGGGAAAGCAGTATTTAGGACAGCAACTCTATGTTAGAGTTTACTCTCCATATCAGACTTTTGCCAATGAATACAACATTTCTAGCAATGCTCTTCTTTGTGGCAAAGCTGTCGGAAGGCTTTAAATTTGTCTTATAAGATATGATCAGGATGTTGCTTTCCCAGTCGTAATAGATTGACTGCTGCTATAGAGATTAAAGCTACTGAGGTGAAATATGCATCCTCAATCGTGATTGATAATTTATTTTGAGATGTAATTTTTTTTTTTTAAATGTAGAATAGGTAGATAAGATTAGCCATTTTATAATGCATCTTCAGGTTGGTGTTCAAGTGTTATTACTATTTTTTTTTTCTTTCATTTTTAATTGGGCGCCACTATTGTTTCCTGCAAATACTGAAAAGGGCGTATGAGTATTTCTGAATTGTGAGGTGATACTGATGGAAATCAGAGAGAGTATGTTAGTATTAATTTAAAGTACTTCATGAAATGACAATAATAAACTAAAGAAAGTAACGAACAAGCATGGAAATCATCAACTAAAACTAAAATTTCTTCACCGTGTAAATCTGAAAAGTATGCATTCTCAGTAACTAAGGCTTTGTATTACCTCCGGTTCTTTTATACTTGTGCAACTCCAGTGCACAGTTAAAATGGCATAAAGTTCAGTGGTACACTATGAATTAGGAAATGCTGTCCTGTTTGTTTGGTTTTTTTACATTTCTAATGCACTTTTTCACATTCTCAATACAAAAAATACCTAAAAGCACGCACTAAAAAAACTAAATTTCCATTGCCCAATATTGTAGAAGTAGGTTGGAGTAGATGCTTCCTTCAAGAAAAGTAAACCCTAAAATTTTGAACACTGATGATAATTTGATCAAATGAAACGTTGTGCTTGATAAACAATATACTTATGTAATTGGGCTAGGATGGATAAGTGTTGGCCAATGTATTAACACTATTCTATTTTTAACAACACGAACATCATTAACAAACTTAGATAGCTTAGTAGTCTTTCATAAACTAGAGATTGATATATAAGGATGGAGTATTACTTTTAGTCTTCGAATTTTTCTATCCTTATTAATTTTGAACCATTAAAAAAAAAAAACCCCCAGTGGAGTACTAAACGTAACTACCGACAAAAAAAATGTTGGTAAATAACTTGGTAGTGTTTTGACTTAAGATAGTACTCCCTCCATTCCAAAATAAGTGTCGTTTTGAAAAAATTGAGAAATTCCAAAATAAGTGTCGTTTTCGGATTTCAATGCATTTTTTGTCAAAAATTTCCAAACATACCCTCAAAAGAAATAATATTATTGGGGAACATTTATTTTAATGGGGTTAGTTGAGAATATTCTAGTAATTTAGTAACCTTATTTAATGTTTTCTTAAACTATGTGCAAACTCTAGAATGACACTTATTTTGGAATAGAGGGAGGAATTAGATTGCGCATGATTTGGATATACTATTACTCACACTAATGAATCCCTCTCGTAAAAATTTAATTGTTTATGATATTGCGATTGAATTTTTTTTTTCTTTTTTCAACAATTGTCTCATTTATCAAAGTGCATACAATTTTGTGAAAAGATTAATTATCGTTATCGATATTAAATATGTTACAAATATGAAAAAAAAAAATTTGAAGGTAATTGCGTCCTTGTGCACACTTTAAAAAAGTAAAGGAACATATGCGAATTGAATGTTTAGTTCCATTTCTTGTAATTAACAATTGATAAGGATAAGTTGTGGAAGGCAAAGTACAAACCACATTAACTTTAGTGTCAAATTAGGTTTCACCTTTATTTATTAGTTATTAAACTCTATACTAGACTCCTGCTATGTTCTACCAAGTGGATCAAAGTTCCCAACAAAAACATTTTCTATCTACTTCAAAATGGGCACACTATGATTTTCGCAATTTTTTTTAATAAGAAAAGATCAATCATTACAAAATTAATTAAATGCCAGGAAAATTTTTTTTGTTCAAATGGGATGAAAAAAAAAGTATGGAATTGGAGTGATTCATCACCAGTACTATTTTTATTTTATTTTTTCTGAAACCTACTATTTTTATTTTGGAAACTCCTAAAAGGCTAAAGATCGAAAATCCTATATATAGTGACTACGTATGTTACAAAACTTCGACAGAAATTTAAAGAATAATAGGATATATAGACGAATGATGAAGTATATATACTTCCTCTCTTCCGAAATAAGTATTTAATTTAAATTTTTACTTTTAATACAAATTGTATCAAAATAAAAGGTCAAATTGAATCAGTTTTGGACACAGAGTATATGATAACTCAATGATGAGTATACAAGGACCAAATTCGTACTGCTAACTGCTAAGGTACACCCTCGTTTCTCAAGTCAAATCCCTCCCACATTCATATGTCAATAGATCGATCGAAAAGAGGAAGCACTGTGGATCCACAACTTCTAACTTCGTTCAAGCATTCCTCCATCATTATCACTCCATGTGACATTATTGCATGATCATGCATATAGCTTAAACCAGTTTTATGTCTATCAAAAATTCCAGTGGAAATGGATCCGTTTTCCGCTGCGTTCTTCCCGCTACGGTCGCCATTTTAATAATCCCAGTCTCTCCACCGACGGAAACACCCTTTGACTCTTGAAAAAAAAGACTGAAGAAATGTTATATTTCAGAGATGGATACAACTATATTACTTACAAGAGACTGAATTAGGTCAAACTGATCAAGTCAGGGCAGTGTGTGTACCTAATGTTATACCCTTAATTTTACCTTTATGGTTTTAATAAATTAAGTTTGGACTAACAAACAGTTTACTCTCCCTTCCATTTTGATAATCTATTTTATTGAATTAAAACAGTATAATAAATTGTATCAAACGTAGGGAGTATTATAGCTTTAACTACAATGCTATAGGGAAGGTTAAAAAAGAAGCATCAGGCAATAAATGAGGTGCATGAAGTGCGGCGTAAATGAGAGAGATCTCACGATTCATCTTCGAAATGTGAACCATGTTAGGATGCCAGCGGAATATTGTACATTTTGAGTACTACGTGTTTTTACGTACTCGATGCATGGCTGCTATATAAGTCTTCTCCTTTTTCCCGCTCCATGTGTTTTGTACACTCTTTCAAACTTAACACCCAAACACACACACACACACACACACCCCCCGATTTCCCTGTACTTTCTTTGTTGAAACCCCTAGCTACTTGCTAGAGGGTTTGTTTTTATATATACATCTGTTAGATTTGCTTTTGATACTCACAAGCAAATACATTTTGAAATCAAGGGTCGTTGATTCTTCTCTCATAAAAAGATATGAGAGGTGCCAATTTGATCCACATTTTTTTTGGGGTCTTGGCACTATGGTCGAGTGCTTCATGCGTCAAAGCTGAAGATCCTTACAGATTTTTCACTTGGGAAATTACCTACGGAAATATTGCTCCTCTAGGTGTCACACAAAAGGTATGAATTTCCAAATTAACCAGCAGTTTTTTTTTTTTTTATTTCATGAAGATAAATCAAGATTATAATTTTTTTTAACCAAATAGATATTTTTTTTGGTCGATGACCTTTTTATCTCCCCCCTTTTTGCCTGGTGCTTAATCCACAAAATAATTTTTTTTTTCTCATTCGTGTTTGGTGCAGGGAATCCTTATAAATGGTCAGTTTCCCGGTCCTACTATTACAGCCGTGACTAATGATAACGTATACGTTAATGTCGTCAACAAGCTAGACGAGCCATTCCTCCTTACATGGTACGTAATATCATTATCAGTATATAAACCACATGATAATATCATTCGTAGTTGTTAGTTTCTTAATCAAACCGTTACACGACTTTTTTTTTTTTTTTGATGAAATTAATTAATGTTATAATAACTCGCTGCAAAACCAGGCATGGAATCAAGCAAAGAAGGCAGTCATGGCAAGATGGTGTGCTGGGGACAAATTGTCCAATTCCTCCAGGTGCAAATTGGACCTACAAAATGCAAATGAAGGATCAAATTGGAACATACAACTATTACCCCTCCACTTCGTTGCATCGAGTGGCTGGTGCTTATGGAGGACTCAATATTTATGCTCGATCCGTCATTGCCATTCCTTATCCCATTCCCGTTGCTGATTTCACAATGATCGTCAGCGACTGGTGGAATAAAGAACACAAGGTCCGAGGATAAGTAAACTTTTTTTTTTTTTTAATTGGTCAACTAAATATTATATATATATATATATAATTTATATTCTTCACTTGTCTCATGCACCCTTTTTCAATCGATCTGAAGTACTTTATCAAGCCTCGATTAAAAACGTTTGACTTTGAGTATGGGGATGGTCCTCTAATTATTTCGAAAATGCTAAAACTTGTTCAAATGAGTTGTTAAGGTGGAAGATTAGAAATAACATGGAATAATAAAAATAGCACAAATCTAAATATTTTAAGTTTTGAAGGTGTTGAAAAATTTGTTGGATACAAGCAAACCATTACCTTCTCCTAACGGACTTTTGATCAATGGCAAACCAAGTGGGACGATCTTCACGGGAACTCCAGGTAACACTGTTGAATTCGTTGCAGATCTCCTGTAACATTTTTGCGTGTAGCATATTTTATGATTTTATAAATTTTTTTTTTTTAAAAAACTTTTGGTCTCAAATTTTTCAGGGAAAAGATACATGCTAAGGGTGTCAAACTTGTGTGTATCAAGATCAATCAACATTGGAATGCAAGGTCACAACATGACACTAGTTGAAGTTGAAGGATCACATACCATTCAACAAAAGTACAACACATTTGACATTCATATGGGCCAATCCGCAACTTTCCTCATCACCTTGGACAACCAAGTGAGGGACTACGGTATTAGGGTCTCAAGTCGTTTCATAAAGCCAATCCTCAACGCAACTGCCGTTCTCCGTTACGCCGGTTCCCAAAACCAAGTCTCCGGCCCATATCCTTCCCCGCCATCCGATTATCACTGGTCCATGTTGCAAGCTAGAACAATCAAGTATGTATTACTAGCTCCGTCTTAAAAAAAAATAATAATAATATTAGATTTTAAGATTTGTATAAAAAAAATAATACTACAAATTATAAATTTATTTTTATAAAATAGAAAGAGTACTAAGCCATGGTTACGGTTTTGATGTGTTTGATTAAAGGTGGAATTTGACGGCAAATGCTGCAAGACCAAACCCACAAGGTTCATACCACTATGGAATGATTCCAATAGTGAGGACTATTGTTCTAGCCAACGCGCCTGCCCAGATCAATGGCCAAACCCGCTACACGCTCAATGGCATTTCTTATGAAAATCCAACTACCCCGTTGAAGCTTGCCGATTACTTCAATATTCCGGGCGTTTTCGTCATGAACGGAATCAAGGACTCCCCTTCTGGTGTCACCCCAACGGAAGGGGTCTCCGTATTCGGATTCACTCTTCATGATTTCGTCGAAATTGTTTTCCAGAACAATGAGAAAGTCTTGCAATCATACCATCTTGATGGTTATGATTTCTGGACCGTCGGGTATGTAATCGTCACCCACTAAAAAATTAAATTCAATTTACTAGTATTGTTTGATCATATTATTAACGTTACAATTCTATAATTGGCGAATGCAGGTTTGCTAATGGAGTATGGAACCCCAGCTTGAGGAACCGTTACAATTTGGACGATGCACCTACAAGAAATACCGTTCAGGTAATTACATATTCTTTTAACATTTTCAATATAACTTTTCACATCGAATTCATTACATTAAAAAAAAATAAAAAATCATAACCCATTTTTGGATTTTTCCAGGTATATCCAATGGGATGGAGTGCAATTCTGATCCCATTTGACAACAAGGGAATGTGGAACCTAAGATCACAAGATTGGGCTAGGAGATATCTTGGACAGGAACTGTACATTAGGGTATGGAACACTGAACAAAGTCTATACACAGAGGCCAACATTCCAGATAACGCAATTCTCTGCGGCAAAGCCAAGCAGTAGTAGTAAAATTTGACTACAGATCATCAAAGCTTAGATAATTTTCCCATGCTCATTACTTAAGAGCAATTCTTTTTGTTTTTCTCTTTTGGCTTATTTTCTGCTACCAATTGGAAAGTCCAGTCACGAGGGTGTGACTGTAAAGAACAAAATATATATTTACAGAGGGTGGGTGGACCTGTAATTTTTCACAAAGTTGCCGTCTGCATTGAGGATGGTGTAATTTTTATTTCTAGTTAATTAATGATTGATTATGATAACAATAACAATTACTAGCATACGTTTGATCTATGTGCACTAATCTCTACAATTTCAAATTTTAGTCAACGGTTGATCTACTCACCGACAAGTTTGTATTCATTGATTTTGTGTGATGCACTACCATATTCTAAAGTACTCATCGAGGCAATGTAGAAATAGTCATTTTTACCAACCGATGGAGTGCTTGGTTTGGCTTTATATCTGAAAAATAAAAAGAAATTAAAAATAGGATATCAAAACGATAAGAAAATTTATCTAGCAGAAAGAAAGATAATTTTAGAGGAATGAACAAATTTAAGATCATTAATATTTAGAAAACATTTGAGAATGCATAACATCAAATTTATGATTCTATACTGTACGTTGTAGTTTATACTGAAGGGAAAGATTTTGAAGATACTTTCTTTAGTAGTAGTTTCGAAACTAGAAAAGACAAGTACTAAAAAAATATTTTGATTTTGAAAAAATGGTAATGTTGTCTCCAAACTGAAGTTTCTTGTAGTTCATTGTTATTTGTTAACAGCTAAAGATTTAGATCATTCTTATTCTTTTCTTTTTTTTTGGTTATACTTTTGGATTTCATAGCATTTATATAACACATACTCTCACTGTCCCAAAATTATTGTCCAGTTTGAGAATTCACTTTTAGTACAATTTGAACTAAAAATGAAAATCTAAACTGAACAATAATTATGGGACAGAGGGAGTAATTATTTTCTCGGTCCCGAATATAGCGTCTTGCTTCTGTTTATTGCTTGTGAATTGTAATACCACTTGTAATAATAATATTGCTAAAGTAACAAAAAAAATCATCATTTTCAAATCATCTTCGCAGTAGTTACTACTGGAATTGGAATTGACCACTAATTATTGCTTTAGGCTGCAATGAGCTACCTGTAAAATCGTTGTCTTAATCAATCCTCGTCCGTCCAGCCAAGAATGAACTCTGTTGATCAGTTGATGAAATAGCCTAAAGCTGCCTAGAATTCCTTGTAATGGCAGGCTCATGAGTCATGATCATCAAACTCCAGTTTAAGTAAGCTTATATGGGCCCATAATCCACTAATCATTTTCTAAAATGGGTGTTGTCTCTTGAGATAAAGAACCCAAATGAATTGACTGGTTGATCAAAATTCTAAACCTCATTCTCACCATAGTCCATGATCCCAAGGAACCCAAAGCCATCGTGGCCCACTCAGTTCAAACATAATTGAATTACTTTTATTATGAAAATAAAAGTCTCAAAAAATTTTTTGATACGAAGAGTATGAGAAAAACCGGAATATTTCACAAAGTTAAAAATCCTATGTGCTCGCAGCAATATGATAATTATTGGTTTTTTTTTTTTTTGGTTTTCTTTTTGAAAAAAAGATTTGCATGCGCTCATAGATTCAGACTAATAAATGAAATCAATTCTTGCATCCCTTAGGAACTGATCATAATTTCACATTAAAAAAAAAAAAAACCCAGCAGGCAGTGAATTTTGATTAACGAATGTGTAATTGCACTTCTCGTTCTCATTGATTTAAACAATCAGAACTATTCTTATACGTTCTTACAAATTGGAAACACCCCATAAATTAATTCAGTAGTACACGTACATTCTACAATGAAGCTTTTAAGCAAGAGACAAAAAAAAAAAAACTGGATTCTCCCCCCCCCCCACTGCAACCTCCATTTATAATACATCAAATACGACTACGTACTAATTAACAACCTCAGCCAAAATCTCCAACATCATTAATTAAGTACGAACGAAAAAATAATAATAATAATAAGACTCCCAAAGTTCCAAAAAGGCCTATAGTAGTACTTATTAAAACTAATTGATAGAAGGATATGCACCATGATGAGTTGTTGTAGGCAAATCGGACCAGGAGAGAATCGGATTCCAGCAAGAGCTCAACTGATCAGCTACAGCTGCAACCGGAGCCGATTCCAGAATATTCGATGATGAACCCGAACTAACAACGTTAACACTTCTTAGAACTATCCCTTCATGTAGACCTCCTGGATTATTAATGCTGTTATAACTTGTTACTGATGATTTTAACCTTTGATAAAGATCTTGAGACGCTCCTCCAATATTATTTCCTTGTGCTTCTCCTAGTAAAAACCCAATATTCTGACGCTCATTTTCTCTCCAGAATGGACCTGTTTTTACCCCAAATGAAGAAGCATCTAATCCAGCTGGAAGTATTCTAGAATAGGGTCCGGGTCCGGATGTGAAAACCGGGTTTTGTTGGGAGGAGTTGGTATTGGATCCGGGTATGGAAGGACTTATCTCCTGTTTTACTTTAACGACTAAAGGAGGAGAAGGGGTAATACTACTTGATATTATTGGACCGGAGCTAGGGTTAGGGTTCTGACTAGCTCTTATCAAAGAAAGTACATGGGAATTCTGATCGGGTGAAGTCCATAACATTGTGTTCGGGTTTGGGTTTTGGTCGAAGTTGCTCATCATGAATGTTGACTTTCCTATCTGATCAGTGGCTGCTCTAAACTTCCCGGCTGATTTTAGTAAAGCCGACGTGGCGGCTACGGTGGCGGCCGTCCTGTTTTTCCGGCACCCGCCTCCGATGGGCACGTTGCGCAACGCGCCGCCTTTTGTCCAGTAACGCCGGCACGTCTTGCAGAAATGACGGGGCTGAGTTAAGTTGTAGTTGTTGTAGTAACAGAACTTGGTGTTGGTTGAGTCACAACGCGGGCACCTGAGGTTCTCTGCGGCGCCGCCGCCGCCGCAGGATGAGGTAGTGGCTGAGGTGGTGCTGACGGCGGAGGAAGAAGGCGACGGAGATGGCGAAATAGATGGTGAAGAAGTAGTGCACGAGCTGCTGCTTCCCAGAATAACTCCATTAATAATATTATTATTGGATTGCTTAGATCTTTCTCCGCCAGTGTCAAGTATTCCAAGAGCTTCCCCTAACAGCTCCGAGATCATCTTTTTTTTTTTTTTTTTTTGAGAATTTATTGCTTTTCTCTAAATCTAAAAGATTCAAGGAAAACAAAGAGAAAGAAGAGAAAGTTAGTCTTTTTGTTTTAGGGTAAAAAAAGTGGATAATCCAGTTGCGTGTTCATGCAAAATTTGTTAGATATATACAACCAAATGGAATCATGAGGAAGAAAACTGAATGATGGCTTGCCTTTGTTCTTTTGCTTCTGTTTCAGCAGAGTACTTCAGCTTTGGTATGGCTTTGAAGTTTTTTGTCTGTGAGTGAAGGAATAAAAACACCAAAGGATAAGAAACTAAAAGAAACCAGCTGCTTTAATATTGTCACACCAAAGAATAAAAGTACTACTAAGAAGACCAGACACAGACCCTTTGTCGTGCATATATATATATATCCAGAAAACCTTTGGTTCAAGACATTAAAATTACGCCTTTTTTTTTCCTTGCATGAAACATCACTTCAACAAGTTTATTTTAATGTTTTCTAATCAGTGTCACTCAGAACTATGGTAATACAAAAAACTAATCCATTGTCGGTATCACTAAACGAAGAATTTATCGTATAGAACTGAAAAAAAAAAATTCACATTGAGTTTAAGATTTATACTAATTTTAGTACAAATTTCAAATCAATATAAACTATATTTCTGGGAGAGAGGAGGAAGCATTTCATTTTATTGAGTTAGTTGAAACAGAGGCGGAATGAATGTGATTTTTATGTATTTTTTTCTTTTTGAAAAGAAATATAGTACTTATAATCATGCATCCTTATGTGCTAAATAATTACCCCATGAAGATGTAACATATGTTGAAGATCTATTCGTGGGGGATCGAATGGTACACTCTAACGAATCATATTGCTTGATTATCAAGTGATTTTTAAGGGATCCAATCCAATTATGCTGCATTAGTACTTGTCTAGCACGTGGAAGGCAAAATCAAGTTAAAACTCCCTTTCAAACACATATGGAGCGGGAGAATGAAAAGAATAATCATAATAATGATGATGAAAATGCGCATTTGAAATTGAAAGGGTAGCAATATAGGGACCGAAATAATGCTGAAGTTATAGCAGCTGTCACAAATTTGAATAAGAACCAAAAAGGTAATGTGGGGGTAATACATTGTGGTTTTCAAGAAAAGGGGGAAAAACTTGGGGAAGACCAGTCTAGTGAATCTTGATGCTTTTAACATTGCTGCTATTAATGGAATTAAATAAGTTGATTAATTGGGAAGGTGCCCTAGATAAATTAATTTATAATCATGCATGATCATGGTAATCAAGTTTTTCCTAGGCAGAGAATAATTTTTGATTAGAGGTACGACATATATTAAGCTTTGTGCTTCCAACTCCAACCAACATGAAGATGCGGTTGATATAAGGAATGATTATGGGTTCAAGGGAAAGAACTTATCACATGGAAATACGTGTAAAGCCGCCCCATGCTCCTCACCTGCAACCACAATTTTGCACTTCGAATCCGCCTCATCAACGATATTCATCAATCACTTCTCCCCGAGACTTGAGGCTTTGATATTGGCTCCATACTGGGGTCTCACCACCATTTCTATGGTCAAGTTTGGTGGGAATTGAAGCTCATATTATACTCCATCCTTCATCCGTCCTAAAGCATGTCTAGGTTTAATTTTCATTTTAATATAATTAAAAGATGTATATATTACTTGATCTGTCTCAAAAAAAATAGTTCACATTGTGTTTCATGTTTATATTATTTTAATACAAATTTTAAAATTCTTGACGATTTTCTTTTTAGTACAAAGGAATAGTTTGTAGCACACTAATTAGCGGCATCGGAAAAGTCAGCTTTGTTGGACTACGGAAAAACTATCAAAAGCAAAATCTTCGCAAGGAACCAAACTAAGGCTAATGCATGATGTGGTGGGAGTTAGCTAGTTAACATTCGTATTCTGTCTACCAGATTGACCAAAAAGGAGTTACATATATACGAAATTTTCATAAGTTCACATTATGTGAGACAAAATACATGTTAGGTTTTGTATAACTTAATCGATTGACGTGACCTAAAACAATTTCTCGTCCCAACAAATAAGAATCATAGTAGCTACCGAGGTGAATTCAGATCCATCGACTCCCATCGTTCATGATGATAATTTCGTAATGAATTCTAATATCTTCTTAATTAAAGATTACAAGTCAAGTCGCAAGCTACATGTATATATTACGGGATCACCAAGATATTCAACCGTAGAGAGACATACTTTAATCATAGTAACAAACAGAAAAATATAATGATAATAGTATGTAGGTAGAAGTTGTGCATGCCTATGAATTATTGGGCATGCTATAAGAATTATGTTTTTTCCATGCGCTAGTAACGTAGGAGCAGCAAGCAAGCAAGCAAGCTGCGCTGTATTAGCTTATTTGTACATTTGTATTTATTTATTTATTTTGTGGGGGGTCTTTAGCTGAAAAGGGTAAAACGACAACAGCTAAGGTACGTACATGAATGAACTGAGCTTCACCTGACCGCGCGTGCCGTCCGGAATGGGAGGCCGGCGTCAGAGGTTTCAGACTAATAAATGAAACAGAATGTACATGTACATATATATAAATCAGCAGTAGTATATAAAGTTCAAAAACCCTGAAGACTGAATCATAAGGGCTGTGAGCTTATAAGGCTCTCTTTCTCTTTGATTCAGTGACTTTTTTTGGGCATCCATTATTGTGGTGGAATGGTGGGGATTGGTGGGGCTTGAAAATGACCTGAGGTTTATATTTTTTGGATCGTGGCTGGTCCGGGCAGAGTCGATAAGGTCACCGTCAATGGGACCTTATATTCCCCTTTCCTTTTCCCCTCGACTCTCGGGCTCTCTCTTCTCTTCTTCTTCTTCTACTTCTATACCCAGTCACTATCAAGTTCTTTTCTTTGCCAAGTTACCTAATATTCTTATATCACACTAATCATCATTACCCCCCACTGCTTAATGCTCCATTATCAATGTTTCACCCCTTCATCGATCATGATTTAACCACTTCAAGATTGGTTTTACGATTAATAATTATTCTGGAAAACTGACAGTTTTTTTTTGGTGTAAGGTGCATTACATGCATGGAGAGGATACACCTTTAATTTGTTATGCACCATGGCAAGGTATACACCAAGTACATTACATTAGAAGAGTTTTTAAAGAATGGCTACATATCGTATTAATTTATACTCCATCAGTCCATCTAAAACAGTTTCGAATTTCACTTTTTAGTACAAATTGTTGTACAAAAATCAATTTGAAACAGATGTAGCATACTTAATATATAAAATTTCTCAAATGGTAAGACTAGAAGAAAGATTGATGTGGTGGATGGTTATTGTTAATATGGATTGTTGAACTAGTCACAATTTCTTGACTAAGAAATAGTTAAAAAACTGTTTGGGAAAAAAAAGAAAGAAAGTAAAGCTGCCGTGCAATTACTATAAAGATGGTACGGAGGGAAATAGGGGAATACATGATCAAAGAATGAGCTATAGCTGCTAGGCCATAAAAATAGTAATGCATGAGAAATGGAATTTGCAGAAAATAATTACGTTTGATTCAAAAACATTCCACATCTCCTAAAACGGGGACCCGACTGGTGTCTCCCTTTACCCGGCAAACACAAAGCTTTTTATCGGGTGCTGAACCACCACCTCGCTCGCTCGCTCCCTTTTGTTCTGAGTGGATGAACAAGTACGATTTCTATTATGCGTTTTTCGCGTAATAATGCTGACAATGATTCCCTTTCCTTGCCCCCATCCAAATTATCAATTGTTTACCCGTCTTTGTCATCGAATCGCCCTTATGTTTTGTACAGCGTCGCACAGAATTATAAAGGGCTCAACCTATTCCATCTAATTAAGTAGGAGCATTCTTCTTTTAGCTATAGTTTTCCAGGATGAATTAGTTTTGTTTCCAATTATAGCTTCTGTTGATTGTTTTATTTAAGTAAAGAAGTCACCATTTAGGATGGAAAATTTGGACGAAATGATAAAACTATAGATTTATAATCATGAGGCTCACATTTGAATTTTGACCGGTGCAACTTAAAAATACTACTTATGTCCAAAAAAAATAGTCCACATTGAATTTTCAAATTTGTACTAAAAATAACACAAAATTCAAAATTCAATGTGGACTATTTTTACGATACGGAGGGAGCAGTAAAAAAGAGTCCCCTGTTTGAGCTTTTGTTGTATGTTCTGATATGTATATGTGATCATCACGTAATGTACCGTATTAGAAAATAGAGATCTAAATTAAACAATTGTTTAGGGATAGAAGGAATACATGTTTACATATTTATCTCTTTTACTTACTTGAAATTTTAATTACTCATTAGCTTAAATTGACATGTATACCATCACTACATCAACAACCAATGAATAACCAAAAAATGGGATCCAATTCACAAAATAAACACATCACCGATAAGGAATCCCCAATTCTATACAATTTCTATGATTTTAAACAATTATTGAGTTTGAATTTTTTACTTTTTTAGTATACCCGATAATAAAAATTAAAATTAAAATTGAACGATTATTTTGAGACAGAAATAATAATAATAATAATAAGGTGTCATTTCAAGTAGGGTCACACATGATGAGGAATTCAATATTGGAGCTTTCAAACTGAACCAAAGGAGAAAAAAAAAGGTAAAGAAAGATTTGTAACAAGATCCTTCTGCAAAGAATACCTAAAGATCATGTCCCTACTCCCCTCCTGCTGGGTATTTTTTTGCGGAACGTGGCATGTTTGCTTTGCTAATCGTATTTATTATCACTTATTTAATTAACACCCCACAAGTTAATGAGATCTATTGAACAAAATGGATGATATAAATATAAGCTTGGGATAGATGATTTTTTTTTTTTTAATAGTCTCTGACAACATGAAAAGAAGCCTACCCTCAGGCCTCAACCCCATGCATGCGCGCAACTTCGTACTGCTAATCCAGATATCGGATATTACCAAGATTGGATTATGTTCTCTGCAACAAGAAACCCTTATCTAATCGAGGTTTCGAGGTAGTGTAGTTTGTACCATTTTCTTGTGATCAACATTAAGCATTTATAGTGTCGTGTTGCGAGATAAAGTAGCGTTATATATTAGCCCACTTCAAAACAATGTGGTTTGAATATAATATTCTTTCTGTCACAAAAAAATTTATCGATTTTGTTAAATTTATTTAGAACAGAAGGAGCATGCATAACACGAGAACTTCAGAATCTGGGTTTCTGTTTGCTTGTCATTTCGAGGGAAAACAGTATTATTGGAAAATACTGTAGGGTAGAATGACAAGATTCTGATGGATGATCGGCGTGACGCTTTTAACATGCATGGTGATGAACATATATATCTAATCAACTTCAATGGACAAACCATAGTGGTAGAAAGCTGTGACATAACATTCCTTTCCAAAACAAGGACAAACTCAGAACATGCAGAAAAGGCCACATTTTTGTGGTTGATGGGATAAAAATGCACCATATTCACTTCTAGAGCAGACATTCATTTACAAAAGCTAGGATTCTAAGCTCCAAAATATTCCACGAGATGATGTATATGGACGGTTTGCTTACATCAACCTCTAAAGTTCTAAGTCCAAGTTGTT